CATTCCACGCAATTGGGGGAGAAGTGGCACAACGGAGCAGTAGTTTGTTCTGCCTGCATAATGTGCGAGGAATAAACGCCAAGTGCGCCGTGAAATATTTGTCTTGTTAACTGCTAATTTCAATGAATAAGGAAATCAACCCCTCCGTGCTTCCATGCAACATGCCAAAAAGCAGGTAGCAATCGTTGTCTTGCGAATAACAGGAGGGGTAAAGGTAAGGAAGTTTTGTAACCGTTGGAATGTCGGTCTTCCGTACATTTTTATGATGGCACCATTGTGGTGTCCTTCTTTCATGTATTTAATGATTGGGGTGGTGATCTCCACTTTCATGCGATCAGCCAGGAATATATTTGTTTTCGAGGCAGCGTCGGTAGCAGCTATGTTGCAAGGATAGCGCATAGCCTTCTGTTTCCTTCTCACAGAGTGGTAGTCATTCATCAGCCTCAGAATGAAGAAAGGCGAGTTACTCTGACCGGGACTCGACCCTCTGAAGCTCGAAGCCGACCTCTTACTACAAGGACAGTATGATGTTCTGGTTATGGCAGAGGGGGCGAGACATACCATCATACAGCATAATACATGAACAATGCGGTTTCCATTCGATTGACCTGGACCTGCCTGATAGGTGACTATGAATAAAGAGAATGCAAACGATTAATGAAGCAGTCCCTTGTCCCGTGCCAACTTTTCACCACAGTGGTGTTCACTCCTGCCAAATTCCGGATGTAGTCGTTTTATTCAATGTCCTCCCCAAACGTTATCCATGAACATGGACATGGGATATGTTATGGTTTGCGGTTTGATTAAGTGACTGGCGTAGGTCATAGGCACGTGCTAATGCTTGGTTTCGAAAGCTTCGTGAACCATGAAAAATTACTTGGAGACTATCGATATTGTTCCTTATATTGTAGCTAACTGTCAACGTTCCGTTGCAAACAAAGAAAGCTAGAGTTTTTGGTGAGTATTATGAGGCAAATGATGTCCAGGGTTTTGCGATTATTTACCGATGCCATTATGTGCCTCAATTTCGTTGAGAATTTCCTATGAATAGACTTCAAACTCATCCATAAAAGTCAAGGAACTTGTTGATCTAGTTCCACGTATTTTGGCATCTACATTTAACCGTAATGCCTTTATGAAACATGAAGATCTAACGCTTCTTCCAGTCATTACATTCTCTAGATAAAAAAATGCCAAACTAACTGAAAAATTCATTTCATTTAAATTCCCGATGCCATACTAGCTCGGAGTAAGCGAACTGCCGCCTTGCCTGTAGTCGTCTATGAAGGACGTTTAAGCAGGCCACTACTCCATAATATTCGAGTGTGTGCTGTCTGTCGGATACAAGAGTGTATATCTTAGTTGAACGCTTTTGGTTTTCGAACAGGCGCTTGTTCTACCAAACTCATAGATGCAATTTTGCATGCGTTGCACTGCATGGACCCCTAAATGATTAAAAGCAAAGAAACAGTGCGCTTTAGCCGAATAAATCCGATGTTATGAATTGTAATGTTAAATGTAATATCTACCGGTACAATGGAAAACTACCTTTGTTTTAGATTCCTCAAAGCATTAGACTCATATTTGAAAATCATCTCGATCAGGTCTTTAATATTCTTCTTGAGTTTCTTTCTTTTCTGCTGTATATATGTACGAAAAAAAACGCTGCGATTGCTATAGGAATTAAACA